ATTAAGAAATTAAAAATAGAGCTTCCCTATGACCCTGCAATTGCACTACTGGGTATTTCCCCCAAAGATACAGATGTAGTGAAAATAAGGGCCATCTGCACCCCAATGTTCATAGCAGCAATGGCCACAGTCACCAAACTGTAGAAAGAACCAAGATGCCCTTCAATAGACGAATGGATAAGGAAGATGTGGTCCATATACACTATGGAGTATGATGCCTCCATCAGAAAGGATGGATACCCAACTTTTGTAGCAACATGGACGGGACTGGAAGAGATTATGCTGAGTGAAATAAGTCAAGCAGAGAGAGTCAATTATCATATGGTTTCAATTATTTGTGGAGCATAACAAATAACATGGAGGACATAGGAAGATGGAAAAGAGAAGGGAGTTGAGGGAAATTGGAAGGGGAGGTGAACCATGAGAGACTATGGACACTGAAAAACAATCTGAGGGTTTTGAAGGGGTGGGGAGTGGGAGGTTGGGGGAACCAGGTGGTAAGTATTAAGGAGGGCACGGATAGCATGGAGCACTGGGGGTGGTGCATAAACAATGAATTCTGTTACGCTGAAAAGAAATTAAAAAAAAAAGTGAGGCAAACAAATCAAAACAAAAAGACTGAGAAGGAAAATTTAAAAATAAATAAATAAATAAATAAATTTTAAAAATTGGGCAGAGAATCTAAAGAGACAATTTCCCAAAACACACAGGAGGACAAGAGGCATATGAAAAGCTCCACATCACGCATCACCAGGGAAATGCAAACCCAAACCACAACAAGCCACCACCTCACACCTGTCAGAGCAGCTGTTATCAAAAATAACATGTTGGCAAGGATGTGGAGAAAACGAGAACCCTCGTGCATTGTTAGTGGGAATGTAAATTAGGGCAGACACTGGAAAAGAGTATGAGGATTTCTCCAAAAACCACCAAAAGAATGACCATATGGCACAGCAATTCCACTTTTGGGTTTATTATCAGAAGAAAATGAACACACTAGTTTGAAAAGATATACACACCCCTACGTTCCTTGCAGCATATTTGTAATAGTCAAGATCAGGAGACAACCTAAGCGTCCATCTATACATGAATGAACAAAGAAGATATGGTGTACGCATGTGTGCACGTGCGCGCGCACACATACACAATGGAATCCTACTCAGGCGTATTAAAGAATGAAACCTTACTATTTGTGGCATTAATGGACCTCGAGGATACTTTGCTAAGTGAAATGAGGCAGACAGAGAAAGACAAATATCAATGATTTCACTGATAAGTAAAATCTAAAGTACACAACAAACTAATGAAACCAAACCCCGTCTCACAGATACGGAGAACAGACTGGTGGGTGTCAGAGGGGAAGGGAGCTGGGGAAGGGGACAAAATGGGTGAAGGGAATCAAAAGGAATAAACATTCAGTTATGAAATAAATCAGCCAAGGGGATGTGATGCACAGCACAGGAAATAAAGTCAGCATTACTGTGTTAACTTTGTATGCGGACAGATGGTAACTAGACTTACGGTGGTGATCAATTTGCAATGTATACAAATGTTGAATTATTATGTTGTACACTTGAAACTAAAAGGATATTGTATATTAATTATATTAATATACAACTTAACAAAATGGCAAAAAGAGGACACATTGCTTTTAGAGATCTGCTGTTCATCATTTCACTCCTGCCGGTCTCAGAAGGTCCTATACTGAAAGCAAAATGCCCCGTGGAACGTAAGAATGCGTACACGCACAATCACTAAGTACTACGGCCGTATCTATGGCAGCAGAATTAACAAGTGAGGTCTTTATTCACCAGTGTGTTAACTTCCAAAGAAGGTAAACAATAACTTAAGGTTGTATTTTAATTACACTCTTGGTTATAAGACTAAACCTGACAGAGTCCTATCATGGCAAGGCTATAGACGAAGTTTATTGAGTAGAATGAACCCTTTCCGGGCAGCGACTGGCCAGCAGTGAAGTTTGTCTGAGGTGAGGATATGTGCGGCACATAATGCGACAGGAAGGGTCTGGCTCTGTGCTTGCATCCTATGAAACAGCCTCCCCATCTCCATCAAGTTTCACGGCTGTGCAGGAATTACCAGTTTATAAGAAGTCACTATCATGACATGATTAAAAACTTTGTTCTTTTGAAAAAATAGGTAACATTAAGAAAGACAACTGTGGACGCCAGTGACAAAGTGAATGGTCTAGCTTCAAAATATTTCATAAATGCTTTTAGTTTCTATTTAACACTATTGCAAGTTTAAGGCAATCAGTTACAATTTTCTTTCAAATTTAATACTTAATGGTAGAAATAATGGAATTTACAAAGATTTCAGGATTTCCTTATTAATGTTAAAGCGGTCTCCTCTCCAAACAACTACAACTGGTTAATAAGGTCATTAGGAATCCTCTGGATAGTTAAATTTTATTTATTTAACCCCTGAAAATATTGCTGCTATTGTGCACTGTTACTTGCTCTTAACTTGTTTCCTTAGTATTTTACATTTTTAAAGAATCCCCGAGCTCTAGGGAAGTCTGCCGCAGCGAGTCGCTTACCCAAATTGACTGGTCTATGCTTACAGACTTCACTGATAACTGCTTGGAGATTTGCTGCTATCTGGTCACTTGGCATATCCAGCTGAAAGGAAAGGATATAGAACATTAATAATGTGAATGTGAGAAGATAATACAACTTCTGGTAACTGTACAAGTAATTATTTTCATCTGTTAAGAGACCCTATTGTGAAAGAAAAAACTTCCATCACTCTTCTTTTAGAATGCTACACTCACATGTCGTTACATGTCAAGACTTAATTACCTTATGAAACATATCACAGTAAAGTTCTTTCAAGCTGCTCTAATTGAGATTCCCGATTTCCAGGTATTTTCCCCAAAGTACAACCTGAGGCAGAATATACCATCCCCTGATCCCTACACCCAAGGATTCAGGGATATTTCCTCTTGAAGTTTTTTGCTGGTATACTTTTTTTTTTTTTTTTTTTTTTAAAGATTTTATTTATTTGAGAGAGCGAGAAAGAGCATGAGCAGGGAGAGTTCGGGGAGAGGGACAAGCAGGCTCCGCACTGAGAGCAGAGCCCCGTGTGAGGCCCGGAGGTCATGACCTGACCTGAGTGGAAGTCAGACGCTCAGCCCACTGAGCTACTCAGGCACCCCTGTTGTTGATTTACTTTTGAAAGAGACTATGAAAATGTTCAGAAATTCATGCTCTCAGGAGTACAAAATACAACTACTTAACCACACAACACACCCCTGCTACAGGGACACTTCCAGGACGCTATGCTAACACTCTATGAAATAAATATCCTGCTATTCAATGAAAACAGTAGTAAGTAAATATACAGTGAACAAGCCCTATACGTAAAATTCTAGAAGCTAGCTCACAACTGCGGAAAGTCCTTATGTTTACCATGTTACTCTTCTAAAATATACCGGTTAAAATCAGCTACATTACATCCCAATGTTTAAAGGATTTTACGCTTTGCTAAATGAATCAATTTTTTAAAAATTCATGTAAAACTCAAAATAGCATAACTGGAAAAAAAAATCACATGGTAATAGTTGGAAGTTCAAGCAAGATTTCTATTCTCCTATGATTCTGAGATCCCTACAAGAAATGTGCTGTGTCAGTATGAAGAGAATTCCTCATGAAAAAAATCATTCTCATTATCACCAGACAATACTTATTTGACACTCACTTGGACAAGATGTAATACCAAACCCTAAGTGAGAAGGTCTGGACATTACTGGAGAATTTTCACTTAAGCCAATCTGTAAGTGGGAGTTCCAAGGGGGGAAAAAAAAAATCAAGCAATGCTTATGAATTCACCTTCTTAAGTCCAGAGAACTTACAGGCTTTAATCACGTAGTTCACTAGCAGAAAAGGCACCTTACATTTGCAATGTTAAAAAACAAAACAAAATAAAACAAAAACTAAGGGTATTAACGTGTCTCCCTTCATTCCTCTCTCAACTGTCTACATTAATCAAATTGTCCTATTATCAACCAAAGCAACCACCACAGCTCTGTAAAGTTCCTTCACCCTTTGTTAAAGACCTGCAGCTACCTTAAATTTGGAAAAAGTAATAGATACAAGAAAGAGCAGATGTCCGATATATGCTTTTACTATTTACTATTAAGTTATGCTCTACACTGTTACATTATAAAATATTAAATAATATACTAAACTCAACTATACTTTTGTGGACTTATACTGCCTACAGTTAGTTTAAATAAGATGCTGGGGTGCCTGGGGGGCTCAGTGGATTAAGCTTCTGCCTTCAGCTCGGGTCATGATCTCAGGGTCCTAGGATCGAGCCCCGCATCTGCCTCAGCATCCCTGCTGAGCAGAGAGCCTGCTTCCCCCTCTCTCTCTGCCTGACTCTCTGCCTACTTGTGATCCTCTCTCTGTCAAATAAATAAATAAAATCTTTAAAAAAAAATAAAAATAAATAAAAAAGATGCTGAACACATGCAACATATGCTTGAGAAATACAAAACAAATAATTCCTCTATGACTTTCATTATTAGGATGACTTCAAGGACTTCATTAAGTTTTAAAATATGTAAAAATGTCTTTAAACACAGTTTACATTTTTTCCAAATTTCAGCATCTCTAATCTTTAGTACTGTGTCCTCTGTTCAATTTGAAAATATTTATAACCGGGGCGCCTGGGTGGCTCAGTGGGTTAAAGCCTCTGCCTTCAGCTCAGGTCATGATCCCAGGGTCCTGGGATCGAGCCCCGCATCGGGCTCTCTGCTCCGCAGGGAGCCTGCTTCCTCCTCCCCCCTCTCTCTCTCTGCCTGCCTCTCTGCCTACTTGTGATCTCTCTCTCTCTAATAAATAAAATCTTAAAAAAAAAAAAAAGAAAATATTTATAACCACACTTCATTTTACCTTTTTAAAGATACTGTACAAAATTATGAAAAATCTACATATTTCATGGTTTATATAGTAATTGTGTTACTTAATTGACTGTTGATGCTAATTATGGTCAAAAAGTATGCATGCACTTTTTTAAAAAAGATTTTCTTTCTTATTTATTTGACAGAGAGAGAGATCACAGGTAGGCAGAGAGGCAGGCAGAAAGAGGAGGAAGCAGGCTCCCTACTGAGCAGAGAGCCCAATGCAGGGCTGGATCCCAGGATCCTGAGATCATGACCTGAGCCAAAGGCAGAGGCTTAACCCACTGAGCCACCCAGGCACCCCAAATTTTCTCAAAACTTGCATAGGAAATGTATTTGGGCTGACAATAACTCAGGAAACCAACATTTGCAAGCTTCTCTACCTACATCTCAGTTACTCTGCACTTCCACGGTGCTCTCATGCAATAACATTTTGTAGTCTTACGGAGGTAAGGATGGGCCATTTTGAGAGGATATTATTCTCAGTATCAGAGCATAAGACTTGGTATACCAGGAAAGAAAGGAAAAAAAAAGCTAAACAAAACTGGGATTGGTGGACCCAGAGCTGTGGCAAGCACTGTATTTGCACATGTGCATATGTGTGCATTTGAATCTAATAGTTACAAAACTATTTATGTTTAGCTAAAGTGACTGCCCACTCCAAGACAATGTAGTTATTCCTCATTCTGTAGCAGGTATGGTTTCAAGAAAAGACTACCTTACTGAATCCTACCTTCTGCTTACCATCCCTTATTACATCAGAAATAATCTCCCAAATGAATACTTACCATTTACATCAATGTGGATGGAACTGGAAGGTATTATACTAAGTGAAATAAGTCAATCAGAGGAAAAAAAAATACAGTTTCATCATATGTGGAATATAAAAAATAGTGCAGAGGATCATAGGGGAAGGGAGGGAAAACTGAATGGGAAAAAAATCAGAGAGGCAGAAAACCATGAGAGACTCCTGACTGCAGGAAACAAACTGAGGGTGCTAGAGGGGAGGTGGGAGGGGAGGTGGGAGGGGAGGCTGGGGCAACTGGGTGACAGACATTGCGGAGGGCACGTGTTGTGATAAGCACGGAGTGTTACATCAACTGATGAATTATTGAAGACTACATCTAAAACTAATGATGTATTATATGCTGGCTAAATGAATTTAAATTAAAAAAGAAAAAAAAAAAAAAGAAATCCCTAAGCTGATGAGATGGAAGACTTACCAAGGATGTTTGGGTGGAGGCTCAGTGGATACAGGTGAGCTCTATGTCTCTCTTTGCTGTAACTCTCAGATTTTCCTCTTTCCATGCAATTCCTAACCTTTGTCTTCAGTTTTTACAATGATGAGAAAACTAAAAATTAGTGGTTCCTGACCATTTTTTCAGCCCTTTGAGATGCAGACGAGTGCAAAGAAAATTGTAGCCATGCGTGTCTAATGCAATGATTCCTTTTCCCCAAGATTTTATTTAAATTCCAGTCAGTTAACATACAGTGTAATACCAGTTTCAGGTGTAGAACTTAGTGATTCGTCATTTACATACAATAGCCAGTGCTCACCTCAGCAAGCGACCTCCTTAATACCCATCATCCATTTAACCCATCCCCCTACCCACCTCCTCTCCAGCAACCCTTAATTTGTTCTCTATAGTTAAGAGTCTGTAGGGGCATCTGCATGGCAGTCTGTTAAGCATCCAACTCTTGGATTCAGCTCATGTCGTGATGTTGGGGCTGTGAGACTGAACCCCGAGTTGGGCTCTAAGCTCAGTGTAGAGTCTGCTTGAGATTTTCTCTCCTTCTCTCTTTACTCCTCCCACTTGTGTCTCTCTCTAAAATGAGTAAATCTATTTTTTTTTAAAAGAGTCTGTTTTCTGGTTTGCCTCTTTTTTTACTCCTATGCTCACCTGTTTGTTTCTTAAATTCCACATGAGTGAAATCATACAGTATTTGTCTTTCACTTAACATAATACTGTTCTCTAGCTCCATCTATGTCTTTGCAAATGGCAAGATTCCATTCTTTTTTATGGCTGAGTAATATTCCATTGTATACATTTACCATATTTCCTTTATTCATTCATCAGTGAATGAACATTTGGCCTCTTTCCATAATTTGGCTATTGTTGATAATGCTACTATAAACATTGGGATGCGTGTATCTCTTTAAATCAGTATTTCTGTTATCCTTTAGGTAAATACCTTGTTGTGCAATGCTGGATGGCAGGGTAGCTCTATTTCTAACTTTTTGAGGAACCTCTACACTGTTTTCCAGAGTAGCTGCACCAACTTGCATTCCCACCAAGAGTGAGAAGAGGGTTCCCCTTTCTCCACTTCCTCATCAACATCTATTGTTTCCTGTGTTAATTTTAGCCATTCTGACAAATGTGAGGTGATACTATGGTTTTGATTTGTATTTCCCTGATGATGAGGATGCTGGGTATCTTTTCATATGCATGTTGGCCATCTGGATGTCTTCTTTGGAAAAATGTCTATTCATGTCTTCTGCCCATTTTTTTTTTTAAGATTTTTATTTATTTATTGTCAGAGAGATATAGAGAGTACAGGCAGGCAGAGTGGTAGGCAGAGGCAGAGGGAGAAACAGGCTCCCTGCGGAGCAAGGTGCCCAATGTGGAACTCGATCCCAGGACACTGGGATCATGACCTGAGCCGAAGGCAGCCGCTTAACTGAATGAGCCACCCAGGCATCCCATCTGCCCATTT